AATACGGAGCTTTCAAAGAGCAATGCTGGATCTGGAACTGTTTTGTCCACTCTATCTGACACAGAATGATGGCACTGTCATGGACGCGGAGACTGCCCGATCGACGCCCATTAAGACTTTCTCCTCTGGTGCCACTGTGAGTTTGGCGAACATCGACATCTCTTCAGATACCATCTAACCGTTGAGGCAGAACTCTCTCACTGGTGCCCTCTTTCTGGCTGATCTGCAGCATAATCCAGAAGTAGACCTCAAAGCTTGTCAGGTTATCATGGCCGATATTGGTGGTACCACTTCAGATTTTGCTGCGCTATCCCCATCCGGATTTCCACGTCAGGCATCCGCTGCAGCAAGTATTGCTGGAGTGCGCACAGCTTATAGCATGCCCGAGGTTGTCAGCATTGGCCTTGGTGGTGGCTCCCTTGTTCATTTCGTAGATGAATTGTCTGGAGTCTCTGTTGGGCCGCTCTCAGTAGGACATCGCCTGCTCACTGAGGCTCGTTGCTTTGGCGACAACGCTTTAACTGCAACAGATATAGCAGTAGCAAAAGGATACAGAGATGAAAGTCTCCCTGAATGGCAAGTAGATATCTCGCCTGACATTGTGAATCAGGCGGCCCGAGACATTACGGGCCAGCTGCAACGGTGCGTTGACAGGATGAAGACCTCCGACTTGGATGTCGTCCTGCTTCTGGTTGGCGGAGGATCCATCATCCAGGTGGATCCGTTGGCCAACATAAGAAAATGCATCCGGCCCCCATTCTACAAGGTCGCAAACGCAGTTGGAGCAGCAATCGCCAAGGTTTGGGCAGTTCGAGTCTCTTCACGTAACAAAGGACTGACGACCTTAGGTTTCTGGAGAAATTGATCGTATAGTCATACCGGAGAGTCGCAGCTTTGAGGAAATCATCCAGGAATTGAAGACGGAAGCCGTGGAGCTGGCGTGCCACAACGGAGCTCGCGCAGGTTCGGCAGAGATCATGGAGATCGATCTGATCCCTCTTCAATATGTAAACAACAACGCTGTACGAGCAGTGGTCAAAGAGGTAAGTTCACTAACCATTACCTTCTTTTGTATTCTAGTTTCTCATGATCTCAGGTCGGGACTTTGGCTTGGCAGCTACCGACCAAATTGGATGGGGTGGTAACTACGAAAGTAGCAGACGAACCGATGTCGACGGGCGCGATGTCAGATTTCGCAGTCGAAAATGTAAAAGATGGTCCATGCTCGAATCATTCTAATGCTGAACTAGTCGATATCGACCTCGAAGCTTATGTCCCTAAAGTGTCGAAAGAAACTGGTGAATGGTTCTTATCAGAGACTGATCTCGTTTTCATTGGTGAAGGCTGTGGCATCCTTGGAACAGGAGGAGGCGGCTCGGTCTACACGGGGCTTCTTCACTCGCAAGAAGTTCTCCGCACAACCAGACAAGGCAGAATGCGCGTCGTCGAAGTCGGCAGTCTACCCCCTAGAAGTAACATTGGCGCGGTTGCTTTCGCAGGTGCCCCCTCAGTTTCAAATGAGCGTCTTATCAACGGGAACGAGATGGAGCTCGCATCGCGGGATCTATCCAAGTTCCTTGGCATTGCCGGGTATGATGCCATGATGGCTGCTGAGGTTGGTGGTTCTAATGGCATGCGGGCCTTCGCAGCAGCGACTTCTTTGGACATCCCGGTCGTCGATGCAGACATGATGGGCCGGGCGTTTCCCAAGGTCGACATGGCCTTACCCTACATATATGGACACGCGAGCCCAGCCCCAGCCGTCCTTTCTGACGCGAGAGGTAACGTTCAGATTATTGCCTCGGTGGAAGATAGCCATCGATTCGAGTCGATCATACGATCGGCTTGTATCGAGCTGGGTTTATATACTGCACTCAGTCTTGCGCCGCTCCAAAAAGAGACCGTTGAGCGCTACTGCTGTCTTGGGAGCTTGTCTTTCGCGTGGTTCATGGGACGAGAGATCTGTTTAGCGCGCCAGCGTAAGCAGGACGTCGTTCAGGCACTGGTATGGATCCTGCCCTTATGAGAAGGAATTAGCTTACAAAACTGTTGTAGTTGTCGATCACTCCTGGTGGGAAACTGCTCTATACAGGTAAGGTGATTGAGGTTCGCCGTGAAGTCAAGGGAGGATGGACAATCGGGACAACAACTCTAGAACCCCTGACAGACGAGGAAAGCAATGGTGAAACTGAGGACCTTGACTCACGCAAGCTTGTCCTCGGTTATCAGGTAATTGGCTTCAAGACGTCATGAAGCCATATACGATGCTGACTACCTTTCCTAAACAAGAACGAGTTCTTTAGTGCCACTTTGCTGCCTGATACAGTGTTGTGTACGACACCCGACCTTATAACTGTCGTTGATGCAAACACAGGCGCTGCTCTGGCCACTCACGAGCTACGCTATGGTTTACGCGTCGCCGTGGTTGCAATGCCGGCGCATCCATTATGGTCAAGCGAAGAATGTTTGAAGATGGCAGGACCTGAGGCTTTTGGGTCAGTATCAATTCCAGAAAATCTGCGATCTCCTTTCGCGTATTGATTAAAAGCATCTAGACTGTCTGAAAAGTTCAAGCCAATCGGGACGAGATGGGACAGCCCGCCATCGGTCTTTCAGCAGTACGGCAGGTAATCCTTAAGAACCTTCGCTCAGCGAATAAGAGAACGTGAGAGCAAAGGAAGCGTGGAACAGGTCTCCCTGATTTAGGTCTCATCACAACCGAATATCTCCCAGATGCGGATATTCCTCATGCTTGCCTCTACGACGCCAAGAAGGCGAAGCTGCCGATATGTACCGCACACAGTGATTCACAGCCTTGATGAATTATTGATTATACTAAAGACACCGATACATCGTTGATTACACAACTTGACATTTTCTTGTGCACCATCCTCCAGAACCCTCCCATGATGATTCCCCTAAGTGCTTCACACATACCACATACAGCCCTCCTAGGACACAAGTTGCACTGCCGTGGACTCTAATCTTCATCCTTGATCTCGACAACTTCCACTACACGACGATTGTTCTTTCCCCTTTTCTTTTGTGAACGTGTTCGTACTTGTGGTTTTCCAATCCCATTCTCACGTGCCTTCTTGCGAAGGTGCGTCATTTGTGCTTTGGTCAGCTCCAGCGTGACGTTCTCAAAGTTGTTCAGTTCCTGCCGCATATCGTCGATAACTTGGCTGCAGCTAACGTGGTCACGGCTGTTGTTCACAGAGAATGGTAATGAAGCACGTCTGAGAATGGAAAGAGTCGTCTCGATGTTATGATCCAGTTGCACATTCGCGAGCGGCCACAGGCCATGTTGACTTAATTCTCGGATCAATCTCCCGAGCAAAGCACACTGGCACACCTCATGAGCGGGCCCTGATATTGGTGGCTCTCGTTCAAGACGATCGACTGTGGTAAGAAGAAGATGTAACATTTTTGCAAGAGTCTTTTGATGAAGATCCTTCAGCTGTTCTGTCATCGAGAATATTAGAAAAGCAACTGATAGATGGATGGGATAGTTCCGAAGGGATGGAAGGTGGGGGACTCAAGGTACCTGTGATTCCCATCTCCTCCAATTTAGGGTCAATATCGCGCCTGGCACTGTCCGGAACACAAATGCCACCCCTTCTATCGACATGCATACAGAAAACAAGGGCTGTGGCTGTCTCGAGGAAGAGAGGTCTGTGACCCAAATCCCAGGGTATCCAGAGCTGCCGAGGTAGGAATGGGTTGCCTTGACGAGTACGAAGCCATCTCCCTAGAAAAGGACTCAGAAATGAGATCATGTCGTAGCTTTCGGCTGCCAGGATGATCTGACTCAGAGTCGCGGTCTCAACAGTCTGGGGCACGTTTGCAAAGCTCCCATGGGCAATGTGCAAGAGCACAGTTAGTGCTTCGGCGCTGACGTCGTCGGATATGGGAATAGCCCAAGCAGATGGCACTTGGCCGCTAAGTGATGGTCTTTCACCGTAGAGCTTTCGTCGCCACACCCCGGACGCTCTGGCCAGTGTTCGAGGACAGACAATGAAGATAGTAGTGCGACCTTCCTTCGAAGCCATGATCAGCCTTAGTTCGCCATCTTCGTCAATTATAACCCTGTGCTCTAGTCGTGAAGCTGATTGCGAGGAACTGAGAAAATTGTGAGCGGGTGGTCCTCTGCTCCTAGGGTGGCGATTGGGGTTATAGTTGACGTCCATGTCAGATATGGCCGAGGTGAGTTCTCCCTCACTATCACCGTAATCATCAATAAGCTCTCCCATGGACTTCCGCATTTGCGGATGACCAGGCTGGGCACTCGTTCTGATAGACGGCGGCCGTGAACGTTTTGCAACGCGGCGTCGTCTGTGCCTGCCATCCATGGCGATATGACTGTTTCTGATTCGTAAGTACAAACAATCGGTTTTTGTTTCGGCTGCTCTGGCCAAACACAGTCCGACAACGCCTTGGGTACGGGGGAGGGAGGAGGGGGAAAGAGCACACACATGACGAGCGATAGTTGGCGGACTCGTTCGGGAAGAAGAAGATGCCTGAGGGGTCAGGCCTTGCCTTGAAGATAGTCTCAAAAATGAGCAGAGTAGAGAAATTTGTTGGTTTTTACCCAACAATGACGGAAGGAGGGCAATTTTGCGCGGACAGATGATCTGAGTTCTGAACTACCGCTCACCTCCCCCTTGCATGCGTAGAACCGTTTACTACTAACAAGCAATGACAAGACCTTCGGCAGATTTTCTACACCAGTGTCACTGCTTTCATCTTAGATATTTGTTGGATCTGTATTCGTATTGAGGACTACAAGCCGGGAAAAATATGACCTTTCTTTGAGATGACTCTGATTTGAGTTTTGTTCCTCATGAAAAACACTCGAAGTGTTGACCCATTGATTTAGTACAGCATACCTTTTCTATACCGCGCTCGAAGCTCTCTTCAACGTGAAACCTCTGGATCTTCAAGAACCCATTTCAATTTCTTTTCCTAGAAAGCCGTCTTCAGAAGATCCACCAAGGTCCTCAGTGCATAACATCCCGCAGTCCGGAGCGAGCGTGTCGTAAGGGCAGATACGAATGGTCCTTTGTGCAGCCAACTTCGCCACAGATATCAGGTAAGCTGTCCAGGTCCAAAGTCATTCCCAAGTGAATGGGACTGCCGTCTTCAGCAGGCACGATTCGAACGTATCGGGAATGCAGGACCCTGTTGTCGATGTCCCATTCCCCTCCTGTCCAGAACCACCGTGAATTTGATGGAACATAACCATGGATGACCCGAGCTCGCTCCTCCATCAACACCAGACCAAGTTTACCAATGATGAGCGCCTGAGCATCCCAAGCTGCTTCCCGAGGGAGTAGCCTAAACATCTCGGCAGCCTCCATCCGCACGTCATGAATTCGACACTTGCCGATCACCAGAGCCAATGGCGTTATAAGGCCATCGCCGAGGGAGAACTTGATCTTGTTCCTGAACGACTGTGCGGTCGCACTGCCCTCCTGGTAGATTTCCATGGCTAACAACTCGGCACAACGTGTATTGATTTCACGAAATTCGGGCTCGAAGTGATCGTAGGAGAGGTCTGTCGGATCAAGAACGCAGCTGGTGAAGATGTAGACCATGAGCCAGTGTGGAATGAGCATCTTGAGCGAGTAACGAACTGTCTCGCTCTTTGCTCCAACAAGATACTGGTCGAGGAGGGCACGCCACTGACGCAGACGCAAGAGGAGCTGTGTCTGTCTCTCTTCCACCTCCGTAACGTCGTATTTGAGTTGCAGCAGCTGGTTTCGGAACGACTGGCAGACAAAGACAAGAGCCCGTGTGCTGAACTCGCTCCAGAGGGCCAGGAGCCTTGGCAGACCGGTCTGACCATCAGCATCTGGTAGGCTGCCGACGCCGGAACCTCTGAGCTCGGCAAACTGACGCGATTGCAGATTGCAAAAATGCGTTACGCTACTGGAAACCGAAAGTCTCGGAAGCATATGCTCGACATCCTCAAACTCGTCGCTCGTTAGTTTCTTTGACCGTGGTCGGCCCGCGGCTCCTTGCAGGATTGTAAGATTATCCTTGAGGAGCTGAATGCCCCCAGCCATCAAGTGGTCAGCCGCTTTCATATTTCCCTGCAGAAACTCAAACGTCACAAGAAGCAGGGTCATGATCATGATGGAACGAGCCGAAGGTGTGGGCCTTTTGGCTGCAATGCGGTCACGGAATAGCTCTATGGCGCGCGTGTGGTATCGGATAGCGGCTTTGTGATGGGAATTGAGGAGTGACTGTGTTGACAAGGGACGAGTGACCGAGGGAGCGGTTTCTGAGGGCTGCGGTACAAAGAACAATGCTTGGGAAAGAGCCCCAAGGGCGACAATGGATTGCTGAACACATTCATCTCTAGCACCCTCGCAGAGCACGATTCGACCCCAAACTGCAGCATCCAGGTCAGTCGGATACTTTATCCAGGCGAGAGTGACTAAAGAGGAGAATATGCAAGGTAGGGAGGGTCATGGTCTCTATAATGCTTTGTGATAGGAGAAGTGCCACATGGAGAGATAGCAATGCAGGTACCCAATACTTACAATCTTGTTGGTTATATCCGGCTAGATCATGAATCAGCTGATGCCGAAAAAGGTCAAAGTAGCCGACTTCCGTCTCGTCCAGAGGAGCCCAAGCTGGGCTTGCATTTGGAGCAGTCAGTCTCCGCGGGCCCTTCCCAAGCTGCCAGATTGCCTCAGCGTGCACGACTTTCACAGGCAGGGCGTAGCCTTCGCAGTCAAACTCGGCTCTTTCGCACCGCAGACAAAATGGCCGCCGCTCGTCACATTTCTGGGATATGATTAGGGATGTGATCTCAGGGCATAGTAGGCTCAGGCGTAGCACGTACGACCCTCCTGGTTTTACAAGTCATGCAACCCGTACGGCTCTTGTTCTTGCATTCGCGTTTCTGATTGGGGGCGACCACACGTTTCTGCTTTGCTAAGAGACCGGTATGAGATGGACTGCTGACAGCGGCAACGGCCCCTTTCCTTTTGATGACCATGATGCTGCAACACAATGCATTCGGCTCTTTTTCGTCTATTGGGTGACTAGACGGATTCGTAGTAGAATCGCGAGCTGCTGTTGTCAGAGCTATACAAACACCACCCTGTAAGCACTTTCTAGGCCGTGAAACCCGATGGACGACGAAGGCGGTCCTCTGGTCTGGCGGGCTCTAGGTTCTCGTACATATGAGAAGGAGGGCTGGCGGTGCAAGAGATAGGCAGCCGAATGTTAGCATTCCCGAGATCTCGGTTTAGCATGAACGACCCTGGTACGCAGTAAGCTGACGCTGCGGAAGATCTCGCGCCCCATTGGCCAGGGTGACTTAATCATCAAAGATCCGAATGCAACCAAGAGCTCGGTTAAATCTCCTAATCGGGAAACCTTTTCGAGCTGAGGACCATGAGTGGACGAGGCAGAAGGGATTGATTGTACCTCCACCATTCTACACCTCCGCCAGGGTAA